AGAATTTTTAATATTTATTTTTTAGTTCTTGGCGGACACAACATCTTTGTTGGTATGTGGTGCTGAGGATCGAACCCGGGCCGCACGCATGCCAGGCGAACGCGCTACCGCTTGAGCCACATCCCCAGCCTCCCAGTGCCTTTCATTTTATTTGAGGGTCTTCCTAAGTTTCGGAGGTTGGCCAGGTACTTCCTATCCTCCTGCCTCAGCCTTCTGAGTAGTTGGGATTACAGGTGTGCGCCACCATGCCCAGCTTCAAGGTTTAAATTAGATACAACAATGTAAAGATGAGTTTTTCAATCATGGGAAGAACTTCTTACTTTTACTGAAGCCAAATAAATTAGAATTGCAGAGAAACAGCTAAATTTGGGGGAAGAAAAACTTCAATGTTAATGTTTCACTATAGAAAAAAATAGATTCTCTTTAATGAATTTTCACGAAGATTTCTCTACGTATCAGCCACTGGCTTTCTCATTTAATGCTCAGAATAGTTTTATGTACTAATACTAATATTATTTTCATTTTATAGGAGAGGAAATGTAAAGTTAACAGATAACACATGTTACACAGCCAAGACTATACCCAATTCTGACTGTAAAATCCATGTTATTTTAACCAACATGATATACTTCTTCCCACTGTTTTATATACTACTGTTTTATTTAATAAGAGGAAGTGTTAGTTAGCAACTGGGAATCAAGACATCTGGTTCCTATTTCTGGCTGGTATATAAACAGAAAAATATGCCATTTGTTGTAATTACAGATAAAAAGCAAAGGCCAGTCTTAATATATACTTACGGAAAACTAAAAAAAAAAAAAAAAAAAAAAAAACAACCCCTCTCAAACTGTTTTTCATGTAAGCTTCTAACTTCCGAATAAGGCTTTGTTACATTTTACTTTGTTCCTAAGTCTTCACAGTTCCCAAATAAAATAAATTACATCTGAATTGCTTTCTCATTTGGAAAATTATGAACAAACTGACCATGTGACAAAGCTCCAGCTTTTGTGGTTAACAGAAGAGACTCTGGAGCCAGATTGATTGCATTTGAATCCTGGCTCTACCACTTACTAGGTGTGGTATAATGATTAATTTCCAAGCCTCAGTTTCTTCTTTCAAAAATGGAGGTATAGGGGCTGGGGTTGTAGCTCAGCGGTGGAGTGCTTGCCTCCCGCTTGCCTCGCATGTGCGGGACCCTGGGTTCCATCCTCAGCACCACATAGAAATAAATGAGTGAAATAAAGGTATTGTGTCCAACTACAACTAAAAAATAATTTTTTTWAAAAAAAATGGAGATATAAGAATTAAATAAGATAAAAATACCAAGAGCAGACTTCTTAGACTGGAAGCTCCAAGAAACTGATTTTTGTCTGTTTTGTTCACAGCTGGATCCCAGCACCTAGAAGTGTTCTGGGCACATAGTAAGTGCCCAATAAATATCTGGTAAATAAACCAATAGTAAATGCTGAGTAAATTATCACATATAGTGAACAGTGTCTATAGTGCTTATTTCATTCACTATATTTTCTATTTTATGGATAAATCAAGAAAAATCAAGCAAATTGCCAATTTTCAAGCAAATCTAACAAACTGCCAATTTCCAAGGTTGAAGAATACAATTTTTGGCTATGCTTGGCCTGTCAGCACAAGGATTTACATGTCCTACACCATGAGAATGAGAACTAAGATTTTAACATATATATATATATACATATATATATATATATACATATATATATATATANATATATATATACGTATATATATATATATATATATATATATTTTGTTATAGATGGACACAATACTTTTATTTATTTATTTTTATGTGGTGCTGAGGATTGAACCCAGCGCCTCACATGTGCTAGGCAATCGCTCTACCAGTGAGCCACAACCCCATCCCCCTTTAGCATATTCTTGACTCAGCAGTTTTTGTAACAGCAGTCTCTTTGGGCTGAAACAGCATGTGAAGTTGCAAGATAATTCCTCTTTTGTTAGAAACAATTTCACCAATGTGTCCTAATAAATTTTCCCTCAGAAAAAGTCACTAACCTGTAACAAAAAATTTGGCTAAAATTAAAAAATATATATATATATATAATAATATATATATAAAATCTGTCATTTTATTACATAAAAATCTTAGTTCTGACAAAATAATTCATGAAGTAATCATTTGGTTTATAAAAATATATCAGAGGCCCAGTGTGGAGCATGCCTGTAATCCTAGTGGCTTGGGAGGCTGGGATAAAAGGATCGTGAGTTCAAAGCCAGCCTCAGCAAAAGCAAGGTGCTAAGGAACTCAGTGAGACCCTGTCTCTAAATAAAATACAAAACAGGGCTGGGGATGTGGCTCAGTGGCTGAGTACCCCTGAGTTCAATCCCTGGTGTATGTCCCCAACCCTCCCCAAAAAATCAGAGAATTTCTTTTTTCTTTCTGTTTATTTTTTTTTTTAAGTTGTAGATGGACACAATATCTTTATTTATTTATTTTTATGTGGTGCTGAAAATCGAACCCAGTGCCTTACATGTTTTGCAAGTGCTCTACCACCGAGCTACAACCCCAGCCCGAGAATTTCTTTAAGCAGCAAATTCCTCCTGCGGCACTTAAGACTATATTAATCAAATTTTTAATTCTTTATAAAATTTAAATCTCGGCTTAAACACAGGTACACCTGTTGAGGTGCCACTAGCTTCCATGAGGAAACCCCTTAATGAAAATTCCATTTTCTTATTACCAGAGGAGAATTGAGGAGAAAAGTGAGGAGAATCTTACTAGCTTGCCTAGAAAATCAAATTTCTCCTAACTGGGGGAAACAAAATCCAACAGTCTATCCTATCACTCGGCTCTGACAGGTATTTTTCTAGAAGTTGCTATCTACAGAATTAGGCTACTAGAGATTAAAACTACAGGTTTCAAAGGCATTGGATTTTTCACTCCAATTCTAAGCCTAACTATAGACCTATCTGCATAAAAACTTTGCTAAACTTCAGGTACTTTGATTTAGAATTGGGGTTGACTAAGATTCTCCTTGCTGGGTTCAGTCACTGAGTGGGTACCTGGCACAGGTAGTTTTTCCTCTGCTAGATGAATCACTACTCTTTTAACATCCAGTTCACAGGACCCTTCCTTCCATGCCTGTGCAACTCTGTAAAGCAGTTATGTCTGGCTCTTGCTTATGCAGGCCCTCATTACCAAACTTTTTTTKTGTGTGTGTGTGGTAATGGGGATTGAACACTGAGGTGCTTAATCACTGAGCCACATCCCCAGCACCCCTGGCCTTTCAAATTCTTTTTTTGAAAGAGGGTCTTGCTAAATTGCTTAGGGCCTCATTAAGTTGCTAAGGCTGGCCTCAAACTTATCATCTCCTTACCTCAGCCTCTCTAGTAACTTGGATTACAGGTATGCACCACCATGCTCAGCCCAAAGTTTTTTGTTTCTTCCTTTTTGATCCACTCCTGGGCAAAAGTTTACTCTTCTTTTTGTTTTTGGTACTAGGGATTGAACTCAGGGGCATTTAACCACTGAGCCACATCCCCAGCCCTTTTGGTTTTTTCTTTAGAGGCAGGGTCTCGCTGAGTTGCTCAGGGCCTCACTAAGTTGTTGAGGCTGGCTTTGAAATTGTGATCCTGCTGCCTCAGTCTCCAGAGCTGCTGGGATTTCAGGCATGTGCCGCCCAGAGTGATTTTCTTACTTTGTATATGCTCATTATTTTCATTATATTCTATTCTTTTTTTGTCTATAAGTCTGTGTCTAGTTCTACACTGTGAATTGTATTTTACCAGTTTTGGATTCATAGCACCTGTTTTAGTGATTGCCACATAGTAAATACTCTCAATAAATCTCTGTAAAATGAGTGAATGGTTAATAGTACTCTTTGGACCTTTATCTTGCTTCCAATCTCTGCTTATTTGGCTCTATTTAATAGTGGTTCTTAACCACTAGGATCATATATTTAAGCAAGAATATGGTAAACTCCTTCTCCATAACCAGGCAAATAAATTGAAGTCTTTGGAGCCAATATTTTTGGAGCCAGTTTAATTATGAAGCTCTGATACAGAAGCATAGTAACTCCTTTGCAAGTTTGTAATGGCCCTGTTTTATTTTACTAGAGCATTATATTTATACATATTATTTGAGTTCCTTCTGACATAATTATACATAAAAGGAATCTGATTTCCAATCCCCATTCCCCTTCCTTCTTCTCCCTCTCCCTTTTCTCTTTACTGATCTTTTCACTCCTATATTTATTTTTTATTGGTTTTCTTGATTGACTCTTTCAAATACAAAAAAGGAGATATTCCCTCTAGAGTGTGTATAAATAAATAAAACATGATGTTGTTAGATTCATTCCATCTTTTTTCCTTCCTCCCTCCCTCCTCATCCCTTCCACTCCCCTGCTCTTCCCTGAATCTTCATGAGATCCAATCCCCTCCACCATTGTGATACGGCCCAGTTTTGAAGAAACCATAACACCAAGCCAAATCTTTACCTGAATTTCATCACACTTGATTAGCTTTTCCACCTCTCCTTGACTCAGAAGGATGAACTCTTCATGCTGTACCACTTCAGGAAAATGCTTCTGGCTAAAAACCTCAGCTGCTTGCATCAGGTCAACACAATTGTGAGTTTCAGCAAAGTCCCTGATACCCAGGCAATTAGAAGGGTCCAGTTGACTTTCTAAGAATTCACAGCAGGCCTGCTTCACCCCTAGAACAAATATAGGTAGTGAATATATTTGGGTCAGGTGTGAATTGGTCTTATATTCTTGGATGTCGACCATCATCTTTGTATGTTATTAGAGGAATACCAGCTCAACACCTAAGAAGCAGATTAGAAAATTTATTTTATTTTTTTAGTTCCAGGGATTGAACCCAGGGGTGCTTAACCACAAAGCCATATCCCCAGCTCTTTTCAATTTTTTTTTAAATTTTGAGACAAGGTCTCACTAAGTTACTGAGGCCGGCCTCAAACTTACAATCCTCCTGCCTCAGCCTTCCAAGTCACTGGGATTACAGGTGTGTGCTACCACGCCTGGCTAGAAATTCTATGTTTAAGGAATTAAAATCTTATTTCTGTCTTATGTGCTATGTCACTTTCATTAGAATTTTATATCTGCCTCTGCTTCATCTTTAAAATGAGTATAGCAAGATGAACTGCTTCCAGGGACACTAGCACAATTAAGCAAAACTATAAAACTTGAAAATCAATCTATAAAGTTAATTAATAATTCAGCAAATGTAACTATTTTATACTCTACATCAAACCTTATTAAAAGGCTCAAGTGAAGGAAAAAACAGAAAATACCACAAACAATTTCATACTTCTCTAATCAGAAAGACCAAAGTAGGGGTTGTATCTCAGTAGTGGAGTGCCTGCCTAAAATTCTACTATCCACAAGGCCCTGGGTTCTACCTTGGTACCGTATTAAAAAAAAAAAAAAAAAATGTTCAGAGTGTAACCTTAATTTTATTACTCTGGACTAATGCAAAAACTTCTAACTAGCTTATCCTGGAATAAAAATGGAAAATATTTCAATTATATGTTTATAAAAAGCAAAGACTGGAAACTGGAAGGGAGATTATGTCTACTTGTGTGACTTTTACACTATCATTTTCTTATATCAGTTTAAATTTTAATAGATATTTTACATGGATCAAAAATTTAAAGATACAAAAAAGTTTACCATGAAAAGTGCCCGTAGGCTCCATATCAATCTGGCCATGTGATGGCCAAGCAGTTAAATATATCTATGCAGGCAATGAATACCATAAGGTTCCATTCCTCCTTGGCTTAGAAGAACGAACTCTTACAGGGGTATCGTATACACGTATGTGTCAGAAAATATATATATTATTCATTCTTCCACTGTTATAAAAAACAGAAGAGGTGTAAACACTCTCTTTCATAGCTGGATACTCATATTTGGAGAGGTTTTTTTCATAATGTTATTGACATCTGATCTTTCATTGCTCAAAGATTCAAAAACCATGGATGGTAAACTTATGTTCCCATAGTTGGTTTCCATGAGTTTTATGATGAAGTTTATACCTATTTTAAATATTTCCAGAGCTATTCTGGTATGAACAACACCAACTTTCAATGTCTGTACCTTTCAGCTGAAGCAAACAGGCTGCAGGGAGCAGTTCTTGTACATTCTCTACTGTCACGTGGACTGTTTCTGTGTATACAAAGTCCAACAGAATTTCCATGGTAGAAGCAGTTAAACCTTGGATATCAACATATGGTTTCCCCTTCTCTGAAAGCTGAAAATTCACAGGATAAGAAGACTACTTTCTATCTAAGAATATTTTCTAAGAATACTTCTACAACATAAAGGTAAAATCTCAAATCCCCACAGATAAAAAGGATGTTAATAATATCAATCATATAAACATCTTTTTTAAAATGATGATCTATTTATTGGATTTGTATAAAGGAAATAGGGCATAAATTTGGAGCTTTTCAAATGGAGAAGGCAGTTATCTGTAACCCTAGGAGTATAGAGAGGCAGAATACCAATATTACGAGTGAATAATTTAAAATCCCAATTCCATATTAAAACAAAAATAGATGTTTTAAAGAATAGAACAAATGCAGTATGAATATACCACTAGTGTCCATGAGCTTTTTTTTGGTAATGGGAATTGAACTCAGGGGCACTCAACCACTGGGCCACATCCCCAGCCCTTTTTAATATTTTATTTAGAGACAGGGTCTTGCTGAGTTGCTTAGCACCTTGCTTTTGCTGAGGCTGGCTTTAAACTTGTGTTCCTCCTGCTCAGCCTCCTGAGCCACTGGGATTACAGGCATGTAGCATTGCACCCAGCCATGTGCTTTTAACATACAAAATTTGAAGCTTCTAGAGGATCCTGTGGGCTACAAGTTCACATTTTCCAAATTTACCAAATTCTGTCACCTACCTTTAAAGTTAGTAACAACGAAAAGGAATATGCAGATTACCTCAAGGGGCCTTCTATTAACATTCTCAATACAACTGAATTGTTTGATACTTTTTCAAAAAATGGGTCTCTGAGATATTAGCTCTGTGGCAGAGTCCTTGCCTAGCATGTGTGAGGCCATAGCTTTGCGCCTTAGCACACACACATACAAAATTCAATTATAAAATATTGGGATGACTCTATTTTAGGATTACTGATTGTAATTGGTTGTACATTTGGTCTAGAATAGTTCCTTGAAATAATGAGTACTGATAAGGCCAGATAATCACAGAAAAATGTGGGTTTTTTTGGTATCAGAGATTGAAGTACCAGGGGTACTTAACTACTGAGACATTCCCCAGCCCTTTTATCTCTATTTGGAGAGAGGGTCTCACTAAGTTACCTAGGGCCTCACTAAACTACTAAGGCTGGCTTTGAACTTGTGATCCTCCTGCTTTAGCCTCCTGAGTTGTTGGGAATACAGGCGTGTGGCATCATGCCCAGCAAAAAATTGTTAGAGTAAAAATCTTCAACTTTACAGGACAATAATCTATCTGAAAGCTGATTACCTCATGAAAACTTTACTAGATTTAAACTTTAGTGATTTTACCCACAAAACCCTAGTACACTTACACTATGAACTAGATGGCTTTATTATCTTTGATTTCTTCATCAAACCATAGAATAATCAAAAAGCATTCTTTACCAAAGCAAAAACACAAATCAATCCCTGACATTAAAAAACATCACTAATAGCCAGCTGTGGTGGTACATGCCCGTAGTCCCAGTGAGTGGAAGGCTGAGATAGGAGGACTGCAAGTTCTATGCTAGCCTGGGAAACTTAGCAAGACCCTGTCTCAATTTTTTAAAAAGGGCTGGGGATTTGACTCAATGGTTAAGCATTCCTGGGTTTAATCCCTGATGCCAAAAAAAAAAAAAAAAAAAGATATGAGTATGTGTATTCTGTCATTCAATAAATCAAATGTATTCCCAATAGACAATCAATTTAAATATGAAAATTATTTTATTTATGTAAGAACTCAGAACATTTCACATTTACATTTTGCACCACAATCTGTCAGCATGCTTCTTGTTTACGATTATTTCATCTAATTCCCACATCACCTGGTTAGATGGTTAAGCATGATGTTGTTGTTACTTAAGAGATAAATGATCTAAGGTTTACAGAAATTATATGGGGGCTGGGGTTGTGGCTCAGTGGTAGAGCTTAGCATGTGTGAGGCACTGGGTTAGATTCTCAGCACTGCATATAAATAAATAAAGGTCCATCAACAACTAAAAAAATTTAAAAAATAAGTTATATGACCTGAGCTTGGTAACTTAATTAGTAAGGGACAAGGAGACAGGTAAAACCCAGGTCCTCTGGTCTCAGTCCTGTGATCTCTCATTTGCACATTTGAGAAACATGTTATGGATGGAAGATAACAAGGAACCATCTAGTTCAACCATTCTTTTACACATCCACCCAGTGCAGTTAGATGATTGCTAGGGTTCATATAGAACTGCCAAGAAAACAAACCTAGAATTCCAGGTCTGGGAATTCCTTTAAATCAATTACTCTTAAGAGCAAACATAAGCCACGTATCATTTTTGCCTGATAAAAACAGTTTTTTAAAAAAAGATTGATTTTACAAAACTCCATACTTATTTCTTAATGTGGGAAAAAATAATGTAGACAAATTTTTTCAAGCTGACAAAAAACAGGATGCACAATATATCATTAGCAGCCCATTTCATGCTCAGCAGCTGCATTCTCCTTACCCAGTTACCTGCCAACTGCTTCTCATGGGCAGATATTGTGGAAAACAGTATAGCACAGGGATATGTAAGGTTATGTTACATAAGATCATTTTAAATTAGCCTAGATTAGCAGGAACGACCTGTCAAGTTTCTGTTTTTCCTACCAACCATGTGACTGAGCACTGGCTCACAGTAACATAAACTATATCGGTTTTAAAATTAGATTGTAGACTATAAAATGTATATTTCAGAGGCTGAGTTAACACAGCAGGCAAAAACTGGGCCTTAGAGTCAGAAAATACAGGCTTAAATTCTACCTCTACCACTTACAAGTTCAAGACTTTGGGCAACTCATTTAATATACCTTGTTCCTTTATTTGTAAAATGAGATGGCAACACTACCCCCAAGGTGAGATATGCATAACAAACATGGAGCACAGTAGCTGGTCCATAAAAATAGTTATCCTTAACTTGTCAAAGACAACCTATTGCTAATTCCCTTTGTTAATTCTTAGACTCCTGAGTCAGTTTTTTTTTCCAAGTCATACTCTTTGCATAGTCATTCACTAGATTTTATTCTCCTCATTTGAAATCATTCTGGAATCTATACTGGTAGAATGGATACTAATTTTTCATCATATATTGTTAGAAGGCATTAGATTAGGTCTGAATCCTATTCTTCCTCTTTCCTTCCTTCCTATTCCCCTGGTATTCACCTTAAAATCTTGGGAGAAAACTGGAAGGCAAACTTAAAAAACATTAAGTAAAATCCAATGCATTTGTGTGTTTTACTATACACTAGAGACTCTTCTAAGCACTTTATATGTAATCTTCTAAAATAATCTTTACAGTAATCTCATGTTATTATGTAGTACTATCATTCCCACCCCTAATTTAGAGATGAGGAAAACAACACACATCTTATCCAGAGACTGCTTGTTTTAGCTACTCTACCATAAAAATTCACTATCATATCAAACTTCTACTATTTTATTCAGTGAAAAGAGACATCAACAAGATTATGTATTCTGAGTCTCATTTGTGTGGCAACATTATACCACTTACCTCGCTCGTGAACATGGCACAGAAGTAATCACTACAGGCAGCCAGCACAATCCGATGGGCAGGGAAGTCTTTCTGCTCTACTCTTAATGTCACATCACAGAGGGTGTTGCTCTTCCTGAGGGAGTTCATTGAGTTGAGGATGGATTTAGCATGAGTATTTGTCATTATGTCTTTGGGGGCCATAATGCCTCCCATCAAGTAATATGGAGAAAAAACAAAAAGGGTCCTTGGATTCTGCCACTATAAGAGAAAAAAAATGAAGAGCATATATGAATAAATGGGGAAACTGAATACACTCAATTAACTTTATAAATTAAGGAATCAAGAAAAGGCTTCTTCAGACCCAAACATCCACAAGTAGAGAACACTCCTATTCCTGACATCACCACCTTGATCTAGCCACCAACTATTCCAAGTAAAAGTTACCTCTTCTTCCTCTAGTTCCACATCTATGGATTTGACCAACCATGAATCAAAAAACACTGAACAAGTAAAATTTCATATGCAATGAACATGTACAATTTTTTTTCTTTTCATTATTCCCTAAACAATACAGGTAAAGAATATTTACATAGCATTTGCATTGTATTATAAATAACATAAAGATGGTTTAAAGAATACAGGAGGATGTGAATAGGTTATATGCAAATACTATGCCATTTTTTATAAGGGACTTCAGCAACTCTGAGTTCCTAGGACCTATATGCCCTGTAAAGATCAAGGGGGTGACTGTGCAAAGTTCACTTGTATGCATTAATTAAATAAACTAACAGATTACACATTTGAAAATCAGCCTAAGTAGTTTTTTGATTGTGGATGGGCTTTAGTCACACTAGATGTGTGACTTTTTTTTTTTCCCTTCAAGGATATTTCTGAGGAATGAAATGGGGTTAGTTGTTATTGAGACAGTTTTATTTGAAACACAAAACTTTCCAAAATGAGGAAGAAAAGTCAAACTGGTCTTTAAAAGTCCACAACTCAGTCCTAATTTTTGAATGCTAAAACCAGTAAAAAATTCTCATCAACTTGTTTATGGCTGCATTTCTCTAAACGCACTCCAGATACTCCCTCCGACGACTCAGCAAGATTCCTTTTACAAAAAAGCACACGTTTCCCTTAAATCAACTTGGTTTTAACTCTAAGGATGCAAGAAAGGTCTGATCAAATGTCTGCAGTCTCTGAAGGTGCTCTGGGGCGTTACCGCAGGGCCCAGCCTGTGGCTAGACTTAACGGTTTGTCAAAACTGACGGTAACCTTAGTGCAGAGTAGTCTTTCCTCTGGGCATTCCTGCCTGGCCGAGCAGTCTCAGCACAGCCTTCGCCCTCACCTTTTGGAAGTGATCTATTCTAGAACTTGCGTTAATATCTGAATAAAGGGGTTCCACCACTGGAGATGGGGGCGACGGTTTCCAAATTCTGGAAGGATTAACTGCAGATAAGAAACGGGGTCTCCTCCCTTGATAACCACCAGGCACCGCCAGGTGGAGGAGCGGGAGGGGCGCGGCGCTGGGGAGCCGAGGGGAGGCCGCTAGAGCCCCAGCACCCCTCCTCTCCCGGCGACCCTCCCATTCCACCTGGGAGGGCGACCGAGGATGGGGGAAGGGCCAGAATCGGGAGTTGAGGGGTAGAAAGGCGGAATGCCACCACCTCCGCGCCACTCACCTCCGCTCCCGGGCCCACCCAGCTGCGCGGGGCCCGTCCCCAGCCCGTGGGGAGGGGGTGGGGCGCGGGGCCAGCAGGCGGCTCAGCCGGAGCCGGAGCGCCCCCGCCGCCGCCCAGACCCGGAGGCTCTGGAGCGGTAGCCGCGGTCGTCCCGGCTCTAGTCTCTGCAGCCGCGCGACGTGATGACGTAATGCAGCACGAGGCCCGCCCCGCCCGCATCATGTGAGTAGGCGGCATCACGTGACTGGCCTGTACCGGGTACGCGACTTTCCATACATCTGGAGGAGGCCAAAAAGAAAAGGTGGGCCAGGGAGGGGGTCGCGCAGCTTTGCAGCTCCGTGGTTGGCCGACACGGATGATTCCAAGGCTTTCAGAGCTGAACATCTAATTGTAGGGAGTAGAATTTACCTGCAAGATATTTAGGAATCCACTCCCACAGAGAAAACCCGCAGAGGCTTCCAATTTCTTCGAGGCCATGGTCCACGACGGCCTTTTTGCACTGCCCACCGCTGCGGTGAGAGCTTTCTAAGGGCTGCGGTCCACAGGTCTCAGCATTCTCTGCATCATAAGGGGCCCAATCATCACCACTTGGGTTATTTTAATTCTTTCATTAGAAGACAATAAGTGGAAGGGACTTGTGGCCACTAGCAGTTAAACACTGTGAAGGAAAATTGCAAACGGTCTTCCTAAAGAGGCCCCAGTAGTCCTTATCTCCACTGTGCTTTTCTGACTTTTGCGATGTCATCGATGCTGAACGTTGTTCAGCAATTTTGCTTCTGGTGGATTTCTGTGCACTTCTCTTATGGCTAAGAAGGGAAAGATGTTTCTTGGCCCAGCTTATGTGAATGTCCAAACTAAGTATGTTTGCTTACAYGGTTTTCCTCTGTGTGGACTTTTGATTCTTAAAGATAATAAAATCATAGCCAAGTGGGCAGCATTCTAATTTTACATAACATTTCCATCTTCCATATTATACCTTCCTGATCTAAAACGCTCCCTGACATTTGCATTTTGTGGATGAGAGTGCAGGATTGGTATAAATTCTGTTGAGGACATTCTGGAATTATGAATGTAAATATACCTTGGTTTTTAAATAAATGTATCCTTCATACATGTGCATATGAAAAATTATGTATGTGCCGTGCTGTACACTGCAGCAGTTTGTAGATTGAATTGAAAACAAGGGGACTGATTCAATTAAGCGTGGTACATTTATGCAATTTAATAATAACCTATGAACAGTGTAACTATTATTTGCATTAAAAAGGCAGGAGAATAAAATATTCGTATGCTTGAATATATATAAAATGTAATTGTGATAACATTGGTTTCTTTGGGAAGAGGAACTGGTTGGCTTGGAGGGGGAGTCGGTGGGGGATGAGGTTTTTCAAATCTTTTGTTTCTGGACATGTGACGTAAAAATATGTACACTTTAAAAGAAAAATAATTCCTTGTTTTCTGGATGCAAAAATAACCTTTAATGACCTTGCCCTAGTTTCTTACTGCTAAATTAAGGACATTTCCAAATATGAGAGAGAACTTAAAGAGGGATTTAAAATTTTTTTTTGTGTATATGTATGTATGTATCTATATATATATATATATATACACACTATATATTTTAAATTTTTATTAGTTGTAGATGGACATACAGTATCTTTATTTATTTTTTACGTGGTGCTGAGGATGGAACCCAGTGCCTCACATGTGAGGCAAGCGCTTTACCACTGAGCTATAGCCCCAGTCCAATATATATGTATTTTTATAATATATAAAAATATATTTATATACATAAATATATAAAATATATATTTGTTAATTATATACTATTATATATTGATATTATATATTTCACATATATTTATGTATTTATGATATTTATTTTATTTATATATTTATTTTTTATCTCTATGTATCTATCTATCTATATTTTTTTGTACCAGGGATTGAACTCAGGGGTGCTTAACCACTGAGCCACATCCTGGGTCCTTTTTGTTTTTTATTTTGAGACTCACAAGAGTTGCTTAAGGCCTTGCTATGTTGCTGAGACTGGCCTTGAACTTGATATCCTCCTGCCTTAGCTTCCTAAATTTCTGGGATTACAGGTAAAAGAGGCTTTGTTTAGGTATATGCCCACTATTACTGTAGTGGCACCCTCTCCCCAACAGAAAATCTTAATTAAGCTTCTCCAGAAATCTTCACCATAATTGATTATAGGACTATGAGCAAAAGAATCTCTACAAAAGAGTTCAATGTAGTTAAGCTTCCTATTTCCTGTTGCTCTTACAATAATTAAATTTGGCCACGGGCCTGAAAGAGATCAACACTCCGGGTGCTGAACACCTCTTTACTAGTTTTTCACAAACATTTATGGATATCTAGTAAAAAAAAAATGTATACACATACACACACATACACACACACACACACACATATATATATATATATATATATATATATATATACATGTATAACAATCTGTAAAGGTTTTCAAGGGAAGTGTGTCTGCAAATGCAGAGTGTGATAAGAAAAAGATTATTTTAAGGAGGCCTCTGGCCTTAGGCTGGAGCTACACAGAGATGTTTACATTTCGAAGATTAGAGAAGATGTTACTAATTGGGCTCCATGGTAACAGCTGGCAGGGAGAGGAAAGAAAGGGGAGAAGAAGCTCTCCCCTTCTCAGGCACTGTCCTTGAAGGGTTAACTTGCCCAGAACATTGAAAGAAAAAGCTGCTTTTGGGTGAACTTCTGCAGACTGAACTTCTGAGCCCTGAACTTGGGGTTCAGGGGGATTGATTGATTACAGCGGAAAGCTTTGCCCTCTGAACCTTTCTGAAGTCAAATAAACTAGCTTCCTGTTTCCTATCCGGGGTCCTGCTTCATCTGTCCCCTACAACATTACAGGCACAGTGGCACAGCTTTTGATCTCAGTTACTCTAGAGGCTGAGGTAGATGGATTGCAAGTTCAAAGTCAACCTCAACAACTTAGCGAGATCCTGCCTAAAAATAAAAAGGGCCAGGGATGTAGCTCAGTGGTATAGCACTCCTGGGCTCAATCCCCAGTATAGGGGAGGGTGGAAAAGCCCTTTTTCTCAGGGAAAGATGGAGAAGCTGTTACCAAGAAAGATAACATACTGAAGTTGGAATTAGTTCAGGCTTCTGTTTTCTTCAAGGTTACAGTCCTAGCACATAATGGTCTTTATGTAATGGTAACATTATCCTTCCCATATCAGAATATTTCCAGTCATTTGCCTCTCTGACCCAATATTCTTGGTTTCTTAGGTACATTCTGGAGGGCTGGGTCTGAATAAGGTGAATCAGTCAGTTTCCATAAGTCATCTTGCATTTATAGTTGGACACCTGGAGTGAAGGGTAGCTACAAACAGCGGGAGAACACAGGAAATTTGTTTTGGAACTCTAGATCAAGTACATGGAGTATGTCAAATCTGTAAACAGGCCAGGCAGAATGCACTGCATTTTTGTACTGCCAGTGTGCTGGACATGAGAATGCATCTCTCAGGTTACTGAGTGTTATCCAAGCAGGGGTCCAAATGCTGCTTAGAAGTGAATTTCCTGAATTTGCACCCAGGCCAAAGCCACAGCTCCCAAGGGCTGGTTCCTGCCTCCAACTGAGGTTAGCAGAGATAAGCATGCAAACCCTTTTCAGGGGAGATGGGACTCCTTGGTTAGCTGACAAAAGGACTTGTGAGTGGATCAAGACCTTATCCCAAAGGGTTTTGCTGAACCTTACACTTTAAGGTGGACTTCCTGGACATTTCACCCTGTTCTCTCTTCCTCTTTCCTTCATGGGGTCAGACTTGCATCAAGGTCAAATGGTTCTAGCTTTGTATTTTCCTTTACATATAAACATTTTCCCCTAATAAAATCCTTGCACATTTAATTTTATCGGAGCAAATGCTTTCCTGAGAATGAGACGAATACACAGGGCATCCAAGAATTTCTTTGGGCTCTTATTCCTTTGTAATAATCTTAAGTTTACTAGTTTTCCAAAGTTCTAATTTTTCCCTAATGGAAAATGTATGGCCTCTAGAGAAAGTTAGTCTAATATTTTATTTAGTGATAAGGGGTAAAATCATCAGACTGTTAGCATTTATACTTTCTTTGATCAAAGTTAGTGTTTTGTCACCATTTACTTATTCTGTAATAGTTACTTGTTGCTAGTTAGAAGTTCTGATAAAAGCAAGGGAGGATACTGAAATCAGGAGCAAAAGGAATTTTTAAGTGATTTGAGATTTTAGAACATGAGGCTTAATTGGTTCAGAAGGATCTGGATTCAAATACTGGCTCATATCCTGTCATCTAAGAAAAAATTACTGGTCCCTGCAGGCATTCAAGGTTGCAACCACAAGTGTAGAACTTGAAAGAAACCTAAGGATCACATGATCCAACTTCATCTATTTCCTATATGTCCTCATAAGGCAATCCATAGTAGCTGAGGCCTAGTGTACTCCTCAAACTTGTTGAGGACCTTTTATGTGCTGGGCACTATAGAACAAGTAAACAAAGAAGGAAAAACAAAACCAACCAAACAAACAATGCAGTGTGATTAAAGAAAAAAGAAAGGCTAAGAAACTGACTCTACCCCTTTTCCGTCAGTAAATAAAAAATCAGGGGGAGATATTTTTCATGTTTAGAATGAGCATACAACTTACTTCATAGAAATACAGATATAAAAATGACATACCATAAGAACGAGTAGGTGCTCAATAAATATTCTCAGATCCTCATTCCATGGTCCTGTCTAGTACTGGAAAATGAAACACTAGTTTTCGTAAACTGCTATGGATCTCCTTATTTCCTCATCTAGAAAATGGGTGGCGTTGGGTCAGATGCTCCTGAAGGTTCCTTCTGGTTTTACACCAGTGGTTGCAAACTCAAATGCCTCCAGGAGCCAACAGATGCCTGCAATGAGTGAATCACTCTAGGTGGGACCATGACAAATTGGAGAGCATAAGCCCTACTCTCTAAAAAGACATGGCTGCTTTTGAGCTGCAATCGATTTTTCCCACTGTGCAAAGACAGACAAAACAAGTTTGTGGGCATTTGGGATGTATAGATAATCAGTTTGTGATTTTGTTGAGGCTGTTTTGAACTCATGTTTATCCTGCCTCAGCCTGGGATTACAGGCGCATACCATGGTGCTCAGCAGTTTATGACTTCTGCTAACAGT